ACCATAGGCGGAAATCCAGGGGAGGGAATTGGGCTGAATGATGCTTGGACCAAAGAAGAAGATCAGAAAGCAATACGGACTCTTGCAGAATGTAGCAGCACGATGTTCATCGCCGACGCGCTTGCCCTCGATCCACGTGTCCGAGCCGGTCTTCGTCGTCGGAGAGGACAAAAGCACTGTATCTCAAGGCTAGCCGGACTGCAAAAGGATGCCAAGTCGGGGCCCATCGTACCGAGAGCTGTTTCAACGGATGCAAGTGTAATGAGGCGCCACTTTCAAGCTGCAGCAACTTCTACGACAAAGATCAAGCAAGCACCGCCCAGTTGGTTGATGTTGCCGTCGATTCCGACCACTTGGCATCCATCCCAATCCAAAGTAATCAACGAGGCTCGTGGGAAGAAAACTGGCAGGTTTGCGAATGGGATTGTCCCCACCCTGGGTGTCGTTTCGCCATCCATCCAGTTGCCGTCTCATTTTAAGGCAGGATACAAGCCCACGGAAACGACGCCGCAGGCCCAAAACCGAAAACGATATCCATTTTTGCGACCCCCTCGGGATGAGCCAAGAGCAGTTCCCCCACGTCCAGGTTCATCGAACAGGCCGGAGGGTTCCCAAAGCAACCCCCCACAAGCACGAGGTGTCCCTGGTGGATTACCTTCAAAGCAAGCAAACAAGATTTCGAAAATGCAAAGTCAGGTGGTACCATCTCGCAGGGCTGCCGGTGTCCCTCCGATCGGAAGTGTTCGCAGCACAGGGCTGCCAAGAGCTTCGACCGCTGCAGGCCAAACACCATCCTCTCGCATCCCGGATGGTCGGGCGTCATTAACTAAAGCTTCGACTGTTGGACATGCGATCAGGAAGAGAGCCTTCACCCCAGGGACGAGTACGCGTATGAGCATCGGGCAAGTTGGAGGCAGCCTCCAAAACATTTCGGCATCCACTCGCGGAATCGGCTCTGTGGGAAAAAAAATAGATCCACTGCGGAAAACAGCGGTGAACAAGGTGAATCTCGGGTCTGGAAATCATTCGAAAAGTGGACAGGGAATGAGCACAATCATGCAGTCTCCTGTTGTTCCTTTAGGAGTTGTAGCTTCGAATGGAGTTGTGAGAAGTGGTGGCGTAAAGACGGGAGTGAGAAATGGGGTGGCGAGTACATCGGCAGGACAAATGCGGGCAGCGACTGGGAAGCCGACCCCGCCGGCTAACGTACCTAGTAAGAATGGGTTAGCTAGTTCGTCGTCATCTGGGCAAATTCGACCCAGCGGTGGGGCTACAAAACCGTCGGCGCCAGCCAACAAGGTATCTGGTGCAAGTACATCGAAAGCCAATACAAAGACAGCGGGGATGCCGCCGGTGGTGATGGGCAAACCGCCAGCGACACCTTTCGAAAACGGGAGTGCTGAGGGGGCAAACAAGAATGTACCAAAGAAAGATGGCAAGTGAGGCGATGTAGAACGGCGTTGTCGGTGGTGATGGGTTTCTGGTAACTGTAACAACGTTTAACATAGGGAAGGAATTTATTATTGAAGATGGAGGTCATGAGAGATTGTCGATAAGCGATCCTCGAATTTTTGAGACGAGATGCGTGGGCTGCGCCTGTCGTAGTTTGAATATGCTCTCAACAACCTGAAGTTCTGTAGATGTGGTATCGAGGCCACAGAATGCAGCCCAGTCGTTTGCCACAAGACCTGCGCCAACGACCTGACTCCCCCGATTGATTGTCCCTGCGACAAGAGGGACCTGCAAAAGGCTCGAAAGTTCGTCCTGATCTTCTATTGAGGTCATGGGATGGACCAATCCTCCTTGATTTGTGAAGGAACAAAACGATCCGACGAGCACCTCCCCTGCAATGGAATGTCCAAAGACCTCAGTCCCTAACACATCTGCGATAATTTCCTCGGTCTCACTATCCAAATCTGTATTTACCAATGAAACGTAATCATTGGTTGCAATACAATTCCCCAGGGCGGACAAGCGCTCCTCGCAGCGCTGGACGACGACCTTGTCTGGGAGGGAATTTTTGATGTGGAGCATTTCTTGGTCGGTGGTGGTGTTGGGCAGCAATAAACCCTTGTTATTTCCTATGCACATGCGGCCGATGATACGGGTGCCGGCGATGGAGGCGTGGACGACTGGTATATGATCGGCCAACTCGGCCTCGAAGACAGAGTAGAAGTTTTCCGAGCCGCCCACGGCGACAAGGCAGTATGAGTTGGTCAGGGTGGAAAACACGCCGATGTCGTTGCTGTTCTCGAACTGACAGCGTACCGCCATGATGCTTGGGCGAGGGGATGAGGTTGAGGTGCGGTGCACGTTTGTTACTCCTAGGGGTTTGACGTGTTTTTCAAAGCAGTAGAATGGTAGTGTGGTAGCTGGTGAAAGTGCGAGAAGAAGTCTGGCGTTGGCGTTGACAATGAGTTAGTTGGGGGGACAATGAGTTAGTTCAGGGGGAGGAAGGGGGGGGGGGGGGGGTTGGTTGTCACTGCGATGAGGCCTTGTTTGGTGTTTGAAGGTGGAATTGAAAGGTGTTGAACGGGCATTATTTAAGGCGACGTGATCCAGGCGTAGAGGCCGGGGACAGCTAATGCAGCGCAGCAATTTGGCGCCGCCGACGTCAAAACGCCATCGTTGAAATTTCAGGTCGGAGCAATTTATCATACCAACCGCCACCGTGGACACGTGGACATCCTCAGTGAGGTCACATAAATTTATGTTTTGCGTTTCAATAAACTCAAGAGTGCTCCTTTTCGCGTACATCCCCACCCGGGAACCAGAATCATCTCTTCACCCCCAATGTCTTCAACCACCCCTCCCCCCTCCCACCGCAAGTGCAATGTGA